AGGGGCTCACGGCAGCCGTGAGCTCATGGCAGCCATGGGCTCAGGCAGCTGTGAGCCGCAGCGGCTGTGAGGACATCCCCTGAGGGCTCCCGGACTGTGAGAGGGGGCAGGCCGGGCTGAGGGACCACCCCTCCCCCCTCCAGTGCACAAATTTTCATGCACCAGGCCTCTAGTAAAAATGATAAAAGAAAGCATTTAGTGAGGAAAGCTCATGTGCCAGGCACTGTTCCCAGTGCTCTACACACATGTCTGGTTTAAACCTCACACAATTCCAGGGGGAGATTATTATTCTCATCGCACAGAGAGGGACTGGCTTAGAGAAACCAAGCAGCTTTCCCAAAGTCATAAGGCTAAGACATTCCTCTTCTTCAATGATTTTAGTCTATTCAATTTTTCACCATACTGAGAAAATTTTAGTAATATTTAAGTTCTTAAAATGTAATTTTCCTCACATTTTCAATTTTTTCTTTTAAAGTTGTATATAGTGTTCTCATGGTTTTAAATGGCCTCTCCAGCTGTTCTTTTGCTCATTTTCCACCTCTAGAGTTCTGTATTTATGTTTTTCTCTTTTTTTCTTATTTTATACTAGTGGCTCCGTGCATGAAATTCATGCACATTAAAAGGGAATTAACTAGAGGAAATATTTAAATATTGCTATTTGCCCTTTCTATTTTATAATAGAAGTGTCAGAGATGAAAGAAAATTAGTAAAATGTATATGAAAATCTCCCTCCTGTCAGAGTCTGGGGTGTGCTGCTCAGAGTCAAGTCCCCACCCACCCGCGTGTGCCTCAAAATTGCGCAAGACCCAGACCTGGCCAGGCCAACCCCCGTCAAACCCCGCAGGGTGGAGGGTGCAGCCTCAGGTCCCCTGTCAAGCCCTGCTGGGCGGGGGGGGGGGGGGAAATGCCCAGCCCCAGGGTCCCTGTTAAGCCCGGCTGTGTTGGGGGCGCAGCCTCAGTTCCCCCAGCCCATTGCTGGGGTGGGAGACTCAGTCTCAGGTCCCCTGTCCCTGGCGCAAGGACGTGAGGGTGCGAGGGTGTGATGACCATTTGCATATTAGCTCTTTATTATATAGGATGCCAACATTTTATCTGTTATTTATATTTCCAAAGAACCAACATTAACTTTGTTATTATTACTCTATTGTTTCTTGATTTTCCACACTAATTTTTCACTTTCATATTTAGCAAATCCTTCCTCCTTTTTTCCTTGTGTTGATTTTGTTACATTTTTCTAGATTCTTGAGGCTTATATATCCTCTGACTTTAGGAGGGGGCGGTGTCTCTGCTAATGTCCACTGCTGATGGAACTTGACATCTCTCCTTTTAGCATTAACAACACATGAGTTTTCTTTGGAGAAGGGAGCTGATGGCCTTCTCAGGGCTCTCTGCTTCTGCTGATTCTCTTAAACTCAGCCATGTCTTCCATCTGGTTCTGGGCTCTGACTTCAGCTGCTGCTACAGGGTCCTTCATACCTTATTCTGGTAGCCTCTGGAGACACACTGGCCCTCACCTCCCAGCGACTGTCTGGGCTCCACCAGTGCATGGAAGAACTTTTCAGATCTTCATGGCCCAAGGTGGTGGAGAAGATTCATGTTTGTGTGCATGTGGAGGTGGAGTGGAATTGGAGACACTGTGACCTAGCTCAGTGCTGCCATGATGTGGCTGCCCCATGCAGCGGTGGGCTTTTCTGCAAAGCTGCTTCCTCCCAGAGAACCAGCCAACAAGTACAGAAATTTCACGACGCCTTCCCAGTTCACCGTGCCCCAAACCATTTGAAAGGTTCTAGCATTCTCTCCCTTAGTTGTTGGAGAACAAAAAGCAGGGCCCCACACTAATGTTTCAATTCTCATTAGAAACACGCTCATTTACATTATTCCTGAAGTAGTATTCAAAGCAATTAGAGAAGAGAAAGAACAGAGCTAAATATTTGAAAGGAGTATGTATACTTATCAATATTCTTATTATCTTTGATTGTATGTCTCCAATACCCAACTGAAAATCCTTAGAAAACAATAAGAGAATTCAATAAGGTGGACTGTTGCAAAGTTCATGTATAAAACAATTAATAACTCTTCTAAGTACAAAAATAATTACCTCTCTAAAAGCACAACAGTGACCGCCCCAAACATTTTTGAAGATGTAAAATATCTAGGACTAAATGTAGAAGTCATATACAGGTACCAAATTAAGAAATCTACAGCATTTAACTAAGAAAAAAAACTTGAATTAATGGAAAGATAGTCCTTATTTATAGTTTGTAAGACAACTGTATAAATAGCTAACTCTCCTTCATAAGTCAATGTAATAATTCAATGTCATTCCAGTTAATTTCCCAACAGATTTTTGTTAGTATTTAACAAGATAGATCTGAAAAGATGTATGTGTTGGGAAAGTTTTGGAAGATAAGTATATTGAGGAGGGCTTATCACACAACATATTTAAAATGTATAATTATGAAGGTATACCTTATATAATACTAGTACATAAATAGGATGACATCAATATAATAGAGTCCAGAAATAGATTCAAGTATATATGAATACTTAGTAAATTATAAAGGTAGTTTTTAACATCAGCAAAGATGGGAACAACTAACTTGCTGGGCAAGTGAAGGAGGTAGTTGCCTTTAAGCCAAATTTCAGATGGATCAGAGATAAAGATATGGAAACTAAAATTGTACAAGAACTAGAAAAAAAGGGAATTGTGGCTCAGTGGTTGAGCATCGACCTATGAACTAGGAGGTCCTGGTTCAATTCCCAGTCAGGGCACATGCCTGGGTTGTGGGCTCGATCTCTGGTAGGGGGTGTGCATATATATATATATATATATATATATATATATATCCTATCTAATAATAGACAAACATGGTAATTGACCGTACCTTCGCTACACCTCCCATTGGCTGATCAGCGTGATATGCAAATTAACCCAACCAAGATGGCGGCCGGCAGCCACGCAGCTGAAGCCTTTGAAATGTTAAATCTAAGATGTATAATAAAGTGCACTGTTGACTAAAAAAAAAATCTACTCAAAGCAAAACACGTGCACAATAGCACACCAATGGCAAATGGCTAATCAATATAAAGAGGTATTTGATCTTATTAACACATACAGAAATTCAGTTTAGAAAAAAATAAAATCTCGCCCAGCCAGTGTGGCTCAGTGGTTGAGCACCACCTATGAACCAAGAGGTCACCAGTTCGATTCCTGGTCAGGGCACATGCCTGGGTTATGGGCTTGATCCCCAGTAGGAGGCATGCAGGAGGCAACCAATTGATGTTTCTCATAAATATTTCTATCTCTCTCTCCCTACTCGCTTTCTCTTTCTTAAAAACAAACAAAAACATATATTAAACATTTAAAAAGTAAAATCTCATTTTTTGAGTATCAGGTTGATAAATACTTTGAAAGTAAAGTGTATCCAGTGTTGGAAACATCATAATGAAGCAGCTACTCTCCTTTACTTTTGGAGGGAGTTTACCTTAGAAGAATTCCAGGGAGGCAATTTGGCAGTTTCTACCCAATTATAGAATGTTCATATCCTTTGATCTAGTACACCCATTTCTAAGATTATGTCCCTAGAAACACAGCCCAAGTCCACCAAAAACGTATGGACCAGAAAATAAAATCTAAGCATTGATGAAAAACTGAAAACAATCCAAATGTTCATCAAGAATAGATCATTTAAATAAATTATAGTTAATGCATCCACTCAACACACTACATAGCTTCTAAAAGAGTTACATGTCCTTGTATGAGAATACGAATTCAAAATGTATTTTATATGAAAACAATGAGAAAGTAGCATGTATACGTTAGCCCTATTTAATTATTATATGCAATGTTAGTCTGTTCATTAAATATTTCCCAACGTTCAACTGCCTCATGAGAAGAAACAGAGTCCTCAAATTCATGAAGGACCCTCACATTCTGTCTTATTATTATTTCTTTATTGTTTGGATATTTCCCAGTGAGAATGTATTATTTTTGAAATAGAAATAATTTTTGAAGAACAAATGAAGTCAATTTTGTCATTATTAGGACGCCTTATAAAAGGTGAGCTTTTTAAGGTATAAATTAATTTCAAAAAACTTGAAAATGCATTCAAATCAAATCAATAAATATTTATTCTACATCCAGCTGACACAGGGCACTAAACAAGGCACTGTAGAGATTAGAGAGCACTTGGTAAGAAAGGAAATAAACAAAGGAAGCACCAAATAATTTCAGCATCATGTTCCAGAGGAGAAATAATCTATCTGGAAGTCATAAAGAGATACTAATCCTTCTGTCACTATTTGTTTTACCTTAGCCTATATAGGGGCTACAATTTCATGTCTATAACTTAAGCAATTCATAACAAAACATAATGATCCATTCCATATCATATAATTTTAATTCAAACGAGGAATTCTCTTCCAAAAAATATATTATCAAAAGAAGTAATTTGTCATTAACTGACAAATGATTGGTACAATTAAAAAAAGATAATTTTAGAATGTGATCAATAAATAGGTAAATTAAGAAAATTGAGAACCAAATAGATTAGCAAGAGGAGAAATGATGATCCTGGAGACTGAAAATTTTAAAAGCATGCACATAATAAATTGGAAGATATTCTTCATGGAATAGATACGTTTGGCAGAAGCAAGGTACTGAAGTGGCAGAGTCATTTGGATTTATTGGAGAATTAGGAACCACTGTACAATTTTTAAGTACAATAAATACCAAGGTTGAGTGGTATTTCTTCAAGATTGAATAATAATCACTGAGCATCTGCTACACATCAAGCCTTGTGCTACGTCACAAGTAAGACGCAGTGATAACCCCAAGAGGCACAATGACCCACCTCTAGTGACATGTGGGGGAACTCCTCCCTGGAAGTGCTCTGGGGGTTGCGTTAGCGGTGCCACGCTTGAGTGCTGCTAGAACTTTAAAATACTACTCCTCATCATTATGACACCTACTGTTTGAAAGCATACTTTAATCTTTAGAGTCACTGTCTCAAAGAAAACTGAATTGCCCACTTAGTAAAGATTCTTTGCAAGGCTCCCTTTATGTCCTGATTCCTCAGGCTGTAGATGAAGGGGTTCAGCATGGGTGTCACCACAGTGTACATCACAGCCATGATAGTCTCCTTAACAGTAGAATTGCTGGCTGAAGGGCACAAGTAGAGGCCAATGATCGTCCCATAGAACAGTGACACCACGGAGAGGTGGGAGCCACAGGTGGAGAAGGCCTTCCTCATACCTCTAGCAGAAGGGACTTTGAGGATGGATGACACAATTCGTGCATAGGATGCAAAGATCAACAGGAATGGAACAATAATAACAAGCCCTCCCAAGATAAATATCATCATTTCATTTATCTGAATGTCAGAGCAGGCCAACTTTAGCAAAGTTGACATGTCACAGAAAAAGTGAGGGATCACATTGTCAGCACAGAAAGACAGCCGAGCCATAAGCAAGGTGTGCAACAAAGAGATCAAAGTTGTCAGCACCCAGGACAGCGCCACCAGGGAGAGACAGAGCTTGGGGCTCATGATGGTGGTGTAGTGCAGGGGGAAGCAGATGGCCACATAGCGGTCATAGGCCATGGCCACAAGGAGGAAGCTCTCCAGGTCTGCAAAAAGCAGGAAGAAGTACATCTGGGTCAGGCAGCCTGCGTAGGGAATGGATGGGACTTGGCTCTGCATGTTGTGCAACAATTTGGGAATGGTCACTGAAGAGAAACAGATATCAGACAAAGACAAATTGCTGAGAAACAAATACATGGGCGTGTGGAGCTGAGAGTCCAGGTGAATGAGCACGATGATGAGGAGGTTCCCCAGGACGGTGGTAAGATACATGGCCAGGAACAGGACATAGAACAGGTCTCGTTGATCTGGCTCAATGGGCAGGCCCAGGAGGAGGAATTCTGAAATGATGCTTTGGTTTCCCATTTTCATGTTGCATCTGGTTTACCTTTTCAAAATTAAGAACAATTTGTATTCCAGTATTTTCCCAAGTCCCCCTGCCCAACCCCGCTCCCCTTCAATGAGCCCCGCCCTTGGTGCCAGTGGGGAAGGTGTGGAGGAGCACTGTGGGTTGGAAGAAGCTCCTGGCCCTGAAGGAACAGACTGGAACCCCATAGTGAGGATTTCCTCTCAACTTATGATGAGTTGAACCTCTACCTAGAAATGTATATTATTAGAACAGCTCCATGGAGGGTGAGGAAAACTGGCTTCATGGAAAGGGGCTCCCAGGATGGTGGTCCCTTAGGCTCTGTTTACCTCGACCCCAAGCAAAATAGTCAGGAGCCAAGAGGAGTCAGGCGTCATTGTTTACTGGCCTGTGATGTTGGCAAATTGCTGACGTTTTCCAACTTTACCAGCGAATCTTACACACCGCACAGAATTGTGGGTTTGGAATGACTGATATTTACAAAGTATAAAGTACTCGGGTGAGTCTCGGTTGCATTTGGAGATGGGAATCACTGTGAGAATGGAAAACAGTGAGGATGAGGACTTCTAAATCATCCTACCGGAGTTGCACTATAGAATTATGGAAACCCAATATCTGTTAAAGAGGGTTTTAGAATAACTACCTCTGCTGAACTCCCTCCCAGCTTACCTCGCTTGTCTGAGCGTGGCTTCAGAGCCTGCCTCCTGTTTGCTACTTCCACGTCTTGCATTTTCAGCCGGAGTCCCTGCCATTGTGTTTTGGCTCTTCTCTTCTACAATTCCCTGCCCCCTGGGATCCCTGGGTCCCAAAGAAACCCATTATTACAAACCCGGTGCTTATCCCCAACCCTGCCTTCCTCAGGCATGTTTCTGAATGAATCGTGTCCAGAGGCAGAATTCTGGATTCACCCCAAGTCTGACCTTCACAGGGAAGCTTTCCCTGACCATCACAGCCCATGCTAATATCCCCCTTCCCCATCTTCTGCAGTGTCTGGCCTTCAATATTTTTTAAATAAATATATTTTTACTGACTTCAGAGAAGACGGGAGAGGAAGATAGAGAAACATCAATGATGAGAGGGAATCATTGATCAGCTGCCTCCTGCATTCCCCCTACTGGGGATTGAATGAGCAACCTGGGCATGTGCCCTGATTGGGAATCGAACCGTGACCTCCTGGTTCATAGGTCGAAGCTCAACCACTGAGCCATGCCGGCCCAGCTCTGGCCTTCGATATTTAATGACCAACTACCATGTGCAGTTATCAGAACCAAATACTATTGCACTTGATCACCACTGTCTTATGCTGTCCAATGATTGCTTCTATTTATGCCAATCATCTCTCCTCACCTGGACTTTAAGCCCTATGATAGCAAGTAATGTGTTGATCAATTCACCCAAAAAATACATAATCCATTAGTTCATTAATGCATTCCTTCAAGAAATATTTAATGAGCAACTACCGTGTGCTGTGTGAAAACTGTGGTTAGGTAGATATGGTCCCTGCCCTCAGATAGCTTACAATCTAACTGGAACACATGACAACTAGGTAAACTACTACCAAGTGTCACAAATGCTGTCTGGGGGGAAATGCAGGATATGATAAGAGTAAGAACACCTAACCTCATCCAGCAGGTAAGGCATTTTTTTATCCCATAAGAAGTTATAACTTTATTAATAATAGAAACAGAACAAATTTCAAACCAAGTTGCAGTACTCTTTTGTACATTTTTAATTTCATAACAGCATTTATAATATCATTACTGTTGCTCTTCAGGGCTCAGACTGACTTTGCTCTTGACACATTTGCTTGTGCCTTGACCAATTCTATGTCCTTCATTTTCATGCCTGTTTCATCAGCCTCTTCCTCTTCACTCTGCTCTGATACAGTGGGAGTCTGTGTGTTTTCTTGAAGGTTTGAGACAGCTTCACCTTGAACTTTTGAATTTCTCAGCAGATGCTAACTGTGCTTGCTGAGATAAATCCTCAATCTTGGCTTCCCCCCAAACTATGTAGGTATCTGAAGCTGGGCTCTTGTGCTGACATCTGCTTTTGTGCTGGCAAAGAGAATAGTCTTAAATTTCAGGATAGTGACCCTAGAAACCCCTGTAAAATGTCAAAGACCCAGTTTGGACACAGCCTTCCATGCCCTCTTTTCACTCCTATTTTGCTTTACTGACTGGTTCTGCATCAATTTCAGCTGCGGCTGCCAGCTGGGCCCGCTGCGGTTGCCTGTGTGGAGTCTTGTTCCTCCAGCTCTGGTGCTGCTTCCTCACTGTCAGATTCTGGTCCTGACCCTGGCTCAGCCTGGGGCCAGCAACTCCTGCTCTGCAGCAGGGCCGGCTTCTGCAGCTTCACTGGGCATTTTGTGCAGGGAACGTGGAACCAGGAAGGTGGCAGATAGACGGCGAGGAGCATGGGGCCCACGCCTGCTGTAGAAGGCAAAACATCCTTTTTTTTTCCTCAATAAAGTTTAAGAGGAATCTAAGGAGTCTTCTAGGAAAAGAGAATGAAAGTGTCCAGAGAGAAGAAAGAGTATATGAAAAAGCCCAGAGGTGAGGGAGCCTGGAGCTTTTCACAAGTTCCGGAAGGAGGGCAGAGGATAGGGGGATGGTTATTGGGAGAGGGGGGAAGGTGAACAATATAGTTTAGTGATTCCTCAAAGAAAACAGAGGCCCTCAACAAATATTTGTACATGAATGTTCATAGCAGCACTATTCACAATAGGCCCAAAGAGCAAATAAACATTCATTGATGACTGGATAAATAAAATGTGGTGTACTGTCAGAATGGCTACCATCAACAAATCAACAAATGACCAGTGCTGGAGAGAGTGTGGAGAAAAGCGAACCCTGGTGCACTGCTGGTGGGAATGCAAACTGGTGCAGCCATTATGGAAAAGAGTATGGAGTTTCCTCAAAAAAATTAAATATGTATCTGCCATTTGACCCAGTGATTCCACTTCCAGGAATATATCCTGAGAGACCCAAAACACCAATCAGAAAGAACGTATGCACCCTTATGTTCATAGCAGCACAATTCACAATAGCTAAGATCTGAAAACAGCCCAAGTACCCATCAGTAGATGAGTGGATTAAAAAGCTGTGGTACATTTATACCCTGGAATACTATGCAGCAGTAAAAAAAGAAGAATCTCTTACCCTCTGAGACTGCATGGAGGGACCTAGAGAGCATCATGCTAAATGAAATAAGTCAGTCAGAGAAAGACAAGTATCACATGATCTCACTCATATGTGGGATCTAAGTAACAAAATAAGCTGATGAATGGAATGGATCCAGAGACATGGAAGCATGGAACAGAGTGCAGAAACTCGGAGGAAACAGGGGGGAGGGTGGGTGGGTGGAAGGTAATCAACCAAAGGCCTTATATGCATATATGCATAACCCATGGACACAAACAATAGGGTGGTGAAGGCCTGGGGCTGGGATGAGGGAAGGCTGGAGGGGGTCAATAGGGGGAAAAGAGGGCATATGTAATACTTTCAACAGTAAAGAATTATTTTTAAAAAATAAATAAATAAAATAAAAAATAAAATTTGATGTAGCCATACAATGGAGTATTATTCATCAGTAAAAATAAATGAAGTAATGATACATATTACAACATATAATGAAAACATTATGGCAATTGAAAAAAGCTAGTAACAAAACCCACCTATTATTTGATTCTATTTACATGACATTTCAAGAACAGGCAAATCCATAGAGACATAGATTGGTGATTGATAGAGGGAAATGGGTAGTGATTGTTAACGGACATGGTTTTTCTCTGGTGGTAATGAAATGTTCTTACATTGATTATGGTGATAGTTGCACAATTCTGTAAACATACAAAAATCTACTTAATTGTATACTTTAAATAAATAGTATGGCAGGGAAACTATATGTTAACAAATCTCTCATATAAAGAAGTCTATCATTGGAGAAATTTGTACTAATGTTACAATTTTGGTTGCAATAATAACACTGTAATTATGTATGAGAATGTTCTTGTTTCTAGGAGATTCTGAATGCTGAATTTAGAGGCTATGTGTCTTGATGTTTGAAAACTATCTCAAATGGCTCAGCTATTTTTTAAAAAGGAGAAAAAATAGAAGAAAGAGGAAGAGAGGCCGTGAGGGAGGGAGAGAAAGAGGTTGATATGTGATAAAAATATGAGCAAATGAAATGTGGACCGACTTGAGCAATTAATACAGTATAAGAAAGACAAGCTAATTTGAAATTAAACTTGAAACTTTTCTTTCGAATGTCACAGGTTAATTGATATAGGATTTTATTTTTTATTTTTGTGTATGTGTTATGACATTTTTCCCTTTTTTCAGTCTATAAATTCAAGTATAAATCTTGTTTCTGCACTAATAATATTTATAGAAGCATAATATTATAAATTCTACTTTACTTTTTAATTTGTATAAAATAAAGTTATCATTTTTATATAGATAGATTGTAGTGCATAAATTTCAAACCTGCTATAAAAATTATTGGTCTTGCCCTGGCCAGTTTTGCTCAGTGGATAGAGCATCGGTCTGTGGACTGAAGGGTCCCAAGTTCGATTTCGGTCAAGGGCACGTACCTCGGTTGTAAGCTGAGGGAGGCAACCAATAGATGTGTCTCTCTCACATGGATGTTTGTCTCTCTGTATCCCCCTCCCTTCCATTCTCTCTAAAAATCAACGGAAAAAATATCCTCAGGTGAGGATTAACAACAACAACAAAATCATTGGTCTTAGTTGAGAATGGAAAAAAAATGGGACAATAATAATATTCCAAGATATAATAGCAGAAATCTCTTTTGAAATGAAGAAAGATGAAAGACTTGTAAATCAAAAGGCATTTGGTGTGTTACTACAAAATTGCAACAAAAGAAAATTGACACAAAAACAAAATCTGATGAAATTATTAAACTTCACGTTTGGAGAAATAATCCTACAAGTTTCAAGGGGGAAAGAAGATGACCATGTAAGGGGCGGGGGAAGAGGGAGTAGTCAGCCTTACCTCAGATTTTTCCACAGTTACTTTGGAAAATGGATTGTAAGCGGGAAAGCAAATGTCCTCAAAAGTCTATACCTAGCCAAGTTGTCCTTCAAATGCTAACACAAATACAAAAGAAAAATCTAAAATATGTGAAACTTTAATAAATACAGTATTCAGGTACCATTCTTATTTTTAAAATGACCTGAAGATGGCCGGAGGGAAGGGGGTTAGGGACTGGGTGGAGGCAAGTAAAAGCGGGGGAGGGGAACATCTGTAATAGTGTCAACAATAAAAATAAAGTGAAAAAAAAATGACTTGAAGATGTAACCCAACAAAGGTATTAATCAAAATATGATCCTATTAACCAATGTCACCCCAATCAATTTAGTTTAAAAAAATCAAAGTATAGAATGAAGGACGAAGAGCACACTTGGGGGAACATAAAGAGTTCAATGATGTGCATGTTGAGATTGAACTTTCACAGACCCTCAAGTGAAGATACCCGTCCGCAGATGAGACTAACACCTGGGAGTTCCGGAGAACCGTCTGGGCTAAAGATGGAGATGTGGAGGTTGCCTTAATATGCGAAAAGGTTAAAGTGGTAGGTTTGGGTGCCATCACTAAGGATACAAATGGACCAAGTTTGGAAACCTGGTCCGCGCCACAAACGGAGCCAAGAGGTTTCTGTTTTGTGTAAATTGTTGACACTGTTACAGATGTCCTGCTCCCCTTCTCGTTGAAGTGGAAGAAAATGAGAAGAACCCATAGAATCACATAGTCCGGGATCTTACATACATTCAACAATTGACACAGAGTGTGACTTGGCAAGTAATTGAATGCCATATTTTTCCATCTGCGAAATGGTGATAATATCATCTATACTTATGTACAATTGCCATAAGGGTAGAATAAAGATATAGATAAAAAGTTGTTTTATGAAGTCCAAACTACCAAACAGAAGAGAAGCATCCTTCCACTTTGAATTTGTATACTAGCTTCTACCATCTTTTCCCATTCCTGGAGAAACGAATTTTAGGGCCCCTAGAATTTATTACTCCCATGTAAAGACAAAATCTACTCATGCAGTAAAAGGGTTATAAAAATCAATTTCAGGTTGGAAAACACAAGGTAGACACGAAAAGAAATCAGAGAGGGAAAACGGCTAACAGATAAACTATGTGACTTGTGCAGGGAGAGGTATGTAGGAGGCATTTAGAGGGAAACTGGGAGCTGAAATATTTAGTATTGACCTAAGAGTATAGAGATTTATTTTTAAATGCTACTGCCATCAAAGCAGAGTTCTGATTTTAAAAATAATATACTGTAATGAATAAGTTAAGAATGTAAGTCATAAAGATCACTGAAAATGGTACTTCTTAAGCTGTGCTTTGCCAAGGTCGCCGGGATATGGGGAAGACAAAGATGTCACAAAGACCCGCTTACCTAGGTCAGCTCCAATTTATCTGTTTTACATACTGAGCAATTGTGCAGCATGTCATTTTAATTGAAGTTAACATGGTGAGGGAAAATATCTGGAATATAGTCCAATATTAATATATGTAAGGAATAAAATTATGAAAAAATATAAAGTGTTACAATCATAAATAACGAGAAAATATCTTTCTACAAAAGACTCTTCCCAGGGCTCCCTTCATGTCTCTGTTCCTCAGGCTGTAGATGAACGGGTTCAGCATGGGCGTCACCACAGTATACATCATAGCCATGACCATCTCCTTCACAGTAGAATTATCAGCTGATGGGCATAAATAAAGAGCAATAATTGTCCCAAAGAACAATGACACCACAGCCAGGTGGGAGCCACAGGTGGAGAAGGCCTTGCGCATACCTCTAGCAGAAGGGACCTTGAGGATGGATGACACAATTCGTGCATAGGACAGGATGATGAGTAGGAACGGGATAACAACAATGAGCCCTCCGATGGTAAATATCACCAAGTCATTAACACGCGTGTCAGAGCAGGACAGCTTCAGCAGAGCAGACAGGTCACAGAAAAAGTGAGGAATCACATTGTCGGCACAAAAACACAACCTGGCCATGAGCAGAGTGTGTAACATGGCATGCAACGTGGTCAGCCCCCAGGACAGCGCCACCAGGGAGAGACAGAGCTTGGGGCCCATGATGGTGGTGTAGTGCAGGGGGAAGCAGATGGCCACATAGCGGTCATAGGCCATGGCCACAAGGAGGAAGTCCTCCAGGTCTGCAAAAAACAGGAAGAAGTACATCTGGGTCAGGCAGCCTGCGTAGGGGATGGATGGGACTTGGCTCTGCATGTTGTGCAGCAACTTGGGCATTGTGACAGAGGAGAAGCAGAGGTCAGAGAAGGACAAGTTACTGAGAAACAAATACATGGGCGTGTGGAGCTGAGAGTCCAGGCGAATCAGGAACATGATGAGGAGGTTCCCCAGGACGGTGGTAACGTACATGACCAGGAACAGGGCATAGAACAGGTTTTTCTGCTCTGACTCGATGGGCAGGCCCTGGAGGAGGAACTCTGTGACGGCAGTTTGGTTCCTTCCTGTCATATCTGTCTCCAGTATCTTTAGGAAGAATAATAGTGTCCATTAACACCCGAATTTAAAAATGAACACATTTCTATGATACGTGATGTTGTAGGTACTCTACAAAAATACTTTACATCACCTTTTCACCATCACTACAATCTCTAGATTTCAAATCTCTATAATCAGAAACTCTTATTAAAAATGACTCATTTTTTAACTTTGTTTTAATACATAATAATGTTGTAACCTTTCTGAAATACTCTCATCCATTAGCTACTAAGACACATGACGTTTCAGTTTTCCTCATATCTGCTGGGTCAGACAGCCTCAGTAACTATAATTGTCTCCTGTTCAGTCAAAATCTTACATGATAATGTTCCCTCAGGGCTTTTTCCTAAACACTCTTCTACTTCAAAGACTTTGATTACCATTTAAACTTTATCAGCGGTTCTCAACCTGTGGGTCGCAACCCCTTTGGCGGTCGAACGACCCTTTCACAGGGGTCGCATAAGACCATCCTGCATATCAGATATTTACATTACAATTCATAACAGTAGCAACATTACAGTTAGGAAGTAGCAACGAAAATAATTTTATGGTTGGGTCACAACATGAGGAACTGTATTTAAAAGCCCAGAAGGTTGAGAACCACTGCTTTAGCTGTATATGTACCTCTAATGTATGAGAGTATACACAGTTGCTTAATGATTTCCTTCCCTTGGCTGTATCACAGCATTTTAAGCTCAGTAGATCCCAAAAGAAAATCATGACCTTACCTTGCTCATCTTCCACTCTCCACCTCTTCTGATTTACCTCATCTCATTAAAAGAGTTCCAGGATATTTAGCCATAAACCGGAGGATTTTCTTTCATTCCCACCTTTCTCTCATCATCAACATCCACTCCTTCAACAAGTCTGATAGATTCTGCCACTTAATTCTCATTCATCCATTCTTATCTCCACTTTCATGACCCTACACCAACTGACCTCGTGCCTTAATTATACTATTGAAATAGTCTCACTGTGGCACTCTAAGATGAAAATCTGATCATCATGCTCCCTACTGTCCCTAAGAACAATGGATCCTCATTGTTCTTAAGATAAAGGCAACATTCCTTTCAAATAATGCTTCATCTTTTTCACCCATCCAGTAAAGGAGAATATAGCCAATGATACTGGGATAACTGTGCATGGTGACAGATGCTTAACTAGAGGTAGTGTGGTGATCACATTGTAAGGTATATAAATGTCAAATCACTATATTGTACACCTGAAACTAATATAATATTTTATGTCAAATATATTTAAATTAAGAAGTGACCCTTTCTGCCACCACAGTTTCATCTGGCCCCCCCAATTGCACTCACATTCTTCACTCCAGCAATGCTGAACCTCAATGTCACCACTTCTTGCCTCCAGCCTTTTGCACTTACTGTTTCTCTTGCTTAACATTTTCCTCCCCCTGCTCTCTCTTCACCTGACTAGCCCTTACATACCCTCCAGGTATATTACATGTCACTTACTCAGCTAAACCTTTCCTGCCTCCCAGACCAGATGAGAACCACTGCTGTGTTTCACATCACATTGTGCTTGCTCCCATAGCCCTCAAAGCCATTGAATTATTGGTTTATACCTGATCCTTACTAGACTGTAAGATCCATACAGAAAAGGCCATGTCTGCTCATGACTGACTGAGGCTGAGACATGTATCCAACTTCAAAGGTAGCAGGAGTCCTTTTAAGTAAGAGCCACTACATCTACTAAATTTTCCCAGAGCAAGAAGTCTCTAGCCTCAAGCATTTAACACTGGATATGACACTTTATTATAGAATTTGTGACTGTGATCTTGTGCCCTTGGAAAATGTTAGGGTACCACAGATTCACTACTCTTGCCATTAATGTAAATGATAAAGGTAATAGAGCTATATAGCTAGATCAGCCATGGGCAAACTACGGCCCGCACCTAAAACTAAAAAAAAAAAAAGACCTTACCCTTTTATGTAATGATGTTTACTTTGAATTTATATTAGTTCACACAAACACTCCATCCATGCTTTTGTTCCGGCCCTCCGGTCCAGTTTAAGAACCCATTGTGGCCCTCGAGTCAAAAAGTTTGCCCACCCCTGAGCTAGACAGATAGATATGTAGATAGATAATCACCTTTTGGTCTTATCTCTCTGGAGCACCATGACTAAAACACTTTACTGTGCCTCAGAGCAGATAAAGAAAGCAGAGGGGAAGGACTAAAAGATGTGGGAAGCTCCAGTTGCTGGGATTTCCACCATTTGATGCTGTTTGATCCAGCCACATAGATAGATTTTACACTTTAACACTATGCACTGACAGGGGGAGAACATCAGGTGAATCACACACCTGGTTTCTCTGAGTTTTGTTTCTCAAGTAAATTAGTGGGACCTGACTCTTGTGCCAATAGTGTGCTGGAGATGACAAATAGGAAACAGAACTTGCAGATGCTACCACCGATAATGCAATAAGCCTCACCCACTAAGGTGACTTCTTCACCCACTAAGTCAGTAGTGCTCAGCCTGGAATGCACATAAAAATCTCTGAGGGGAGTGTTTCCGAAATGAATGTCCATGCAAATCACCTGGAGTTCAAGGAAAACACTGATTCTGACTCAGGAGGAAAGCAGCTACTTTGTAAATTAGCATTCTGATGATGCCCATCCTTGTCCACTAACGACACAGTGAACTGCAGGTACTAGTATCTATGATGCTATTGAAAATAAAGATCATTGGTCTCCCTAAGAGAACTTTAGAGAAGTGTCCTATGCCAAGGTTTTTCAAACTCAAGGTGCTCTAAAATATAGCAAGGGCTAGAGCTATTGCATTAAAAGCTGTCATTACATTAAAATTGTATTACACTGTGGAATACATTACATAGGAAGTAATAGTTATGGACGCTATTATTAATAAAAAAGATCATACCTGGTGGACATTCAACAAAATGTTTTAGGATTTGGGGAAGTCTTGGAGGCTGAGAGGTGGAGAAGAGGAGGGTCATCATACCTGAAAATACCACAGCAGAACATCACACAACCTGAGAAAGCAAGACCATCCTGTTACAAGGGCCCCAAGAGACCAGCTCATTCATCTCCTGCCCAACTTAGTCTGTCTGAGGGTGATTTCTGGACCCTTGTCTGAGATTCTGCTCCCCTTTATACACTAAGCCATGTCAAGTAACAGCCTCTGTAGTCATCACCTGTGCCTGCAACATCCCTTCTCACATCTCCTATTCTACACAACCCTACACCAAAGGGCCCTGGATCCCAGAGGAATCTAGATCCTGGAGAAACTCATTAAAGTCAAAGTAATTATCCAGGATGGTTCTAGGACGATGATCTCAGAGTCCTGGAACAGTGACTGGTTATAGTCACTGATTAAACATGACTATACTTGCCGGAAGCCAATTCCAGCATGACAGCAGGGCTGAATCTGGGAATGGCTGATGGCATTTTCCCAAACCTGAATGGGATACATTAAATTGATTGTTTGCTGCCAGACAGCTCAGGGCATCTTAATCTACATGTTATTGCCTCCTACTGGCCAAACACCTGAACAGCCATAAGCTAATTCCCCCAAATCTGACAATGGACTCTGTATACTAAATCCTGACCCTTTGAAGTGTCTATCTCCACCTCGCCTCAGGACAATTTGTGTTAATAAAAAGCATGAGGTCCTGAGACAAAGAGATCTTGGTTTTCTTTAAAATAGGCTCCTCTGATCCCCAAATGCCTTTCAAAATTATATTTCATCTCTGGACTCCTATTTAATCTATGCACAGCCTTCTCCAGATTCCAGAACCCTTCTAGATGGTCGATCAAGACCTACCAACATTAAATATCGCCCAAAGTCTGGCATTATATACTTTGAGGAAGCTCATGTATGGACAATTAAGCCCTATCTGTTTAATGGACATTAGGCCTGTGGGGCTGGAGCCTACGTTTTCAGAGGTGAAGCAAAATGGTTGGAGAAGCCAACTAGCAGGGATGAGAGTATGAATATCCTAAAATATCTTAGGAGTGTAGGAGGCTTTACCTGGTGGACAATTAGAAGCAATCAATGTTCTTTGAGCAAAATGCCATGAAAGATACATATTTTGGAAAGATTCTCAGGTGGTAGAATCTCTCACTCTACCCCAAGTCCTCATAAACATACCCAGGGGGAGAGATATATCAGCAGCTAACACCTATTAGATCTCTATGACCCAAGCGTATGTAAGTATGTGGAAAACTTAGAGTAAGAGTAAAGATAAACTCTCCCAGATCATGTTCAATCTTCCTCAATCCAAGATAGAAATGGAAAACTGGTTTTAATCCCATTGAGATACTTGCATCTCCTTACTTCTTTAAGAAAACCTTAATACACTGGCCTATGGGGCGTGGGTACAGTGTTTTGGCTAGGTTCAAGCCTCAGACTAATGAAAGGACAGGGTCCTCTCATTGCCACATGCAAGTCCCAGCTGGAAGGGCAGGGCCCTCCCAGCACAATTATAGCCAACGGTTGTGGTTGTAAGCTTGAACCTATGGTCCGAACACGTAGCCCCAGGTGCCTTGTGATAGAGTTCGGGTGCATGTAGTTAAGTGAGGTTGAAACTCACAAGAATGCTGTAAACAATGTGATCACGCCCCTACTTTGCCTCGTGGCATCTGCTATAAAATAAAGACATGGCTTGTGGGCGCTGGTGCTGTCTCCTCATCAGGGAGCAGCGTCCCACTGAGACCCAGCTTTCATTCTCTTGTCTGTCTTTTCTCAATCCTTTCACCCCCCCATTCAGGGTCACTGAACCAGGCTGAGCTGGCATGGCACATAAGGCGCCCTGGGGCTGAGTATGCCATGGCCGTGCCGGCTCCCCACACTGGCCACTATCATTATCTCTACTGCTCTACAAGTGTGTCAGATTAACTCCTAGTCTCCACATCTTCCCTTTGTTGCAATTGATCACAAGACCATGGTTGACTTATAATTCCTTCTTCACCACCCATTTCATGTTCTCCTTGA